AGTGCTGGGATTACAGGCTTGAGCCACCGAGCCCGGCCTTATTTTTAATTTTTTATGAGACAGAGTCTCACTCTGTTGCCAAGGCTGGAGAGTGCAGTGTCACAATCTTGGCTTACTGCAAGCTCCACCTCCCAGGTTCAAGTGATTCTCCTGCCTCAGCCTCCCAAGTAGCTGGAGTTACTAAGCACCTGCCACCATGCCCAGCTAATTTTTCTCTGTGTATTTTTAGTAGAGATGGAGTTTTGCCATGTTGGCCAGGCTGGTCTTGAACTCCTGACCTCAGTTAGTCCACTTGCCTCTGCCTCCCAAAGTGCTGGAATTACAAGTGTGAGCCACCACACCCAGACTATAGGATATAAAAGGAGGGATGCTTGGATTGGGTGGGGGAGTTGGAGTAAATGACCCCAAGGTTGCTTCCTGCATGGGACATCTCTACTTGCTGGGAGATGATGCAGAGTCTATTTCTTGTGTTCTTGTTTAATAGCTTTGCCTTTTGATGTTATTGAATTTACTTTTCTAGGCACTCTGACCTGGTCACAGCCAGAGACACTCGGAAATCCTCCATCCCCCCGGCATGGCCATGTGATGGTGGCAGCAGGGACAAAGCTCTTCATCCATGGAGGCTTGGCAGGGGACAAATTCTATGATGATCTCCACTGCATTGATATAAGTAAGCAGGGCACGGGGGCTTGTCTTTTAAAATTGTTAATTTTTTTTTAGACAGGATCTCTCTCTGTCATTCAGGCTGGAATGCAGTGGCATGATCTCAGTAGCCTAGCCCTCCTGGGCTCAAGTGATCCTCCTACCTCATCCTCCCCCATAGCTGGAGCTACGGGTTCATGCCACCATGCTCGGCTAATATAAAATTTTATTTTGGTAGAGATGAGGTCTCGCCATGTTGCCCAGGCTGGTCTCAAACTTCTGTGCTCAAGTGATTTTTAAAAATGTACTTTGAAATAATATAGCCTTGCTCGGCCAGGCGCAATGGCTCATGCCTGCACTTTGGGAGGCCATGGCAGGTAGATCACCTGAGGTTAGGAATTTGAGACCAGCCTGGCCAACATGATAAAAAACTCATGTCTACTAAAAATATAAAAATTAGCCTGGTGTCATAGCACATGCACCCCTAATCTGAGCGACTCGGGCACCTGAGGCAGGAGACTCACTTGAACCCAGGAGGTGGAGGTTGTGGTAAGCTGAGACCATGCCACTGCACTCCAGACTCCATCTCAAAAAAAAAAAAAAAAAAAAAAAAAAAAAAAAACTGGGCACGGTGCCTCACACCTGTAATCCCAGAACTTCGGGAGGCCGAGGTGGGCAGATCATCTACGGTCAGGAGTTTGAGACCAGCCTGCCCAACATGGTGAGATCCCATCTCTACTAAAAATATAAAAATTAGCCAGGCTTGGCGGTTACCTGTAGTCCTAGCTACTTGGGAGGCTGAGGCAGGAGAATCACTTGAACCTGGGAGGCAGAGGTTGCCATGAGTCGAGATCACACTCCTGCACTCCAGCCTGGGGCGAGAGACTCTGTCTCAAAAAAAAAACAAGAAAAGAAAAGAAAAAGAAAATATAGTCTTGCTCTTATGGGTAAGTAACTTGCCCAGCTGGCAGAATCTTCATCAGATTCTGTCACCTCTGGACAGAATATTAATAATAAGAAACCATAGCACTAAATAATCTGAGTGCTCATTATGGACCCAGCCATTTACTGTCTCTCGTCCTTCCAACAGCACTGCCCTTTCATTACAACCCACTGTGCTTTGTGTTGGCCTATTGGATTTCTTTCACGTGTTAGCCATTAACCCATGAAGGGCCTGGATAACGTGGAGGTAGATGACCAGAATTTTATGCTTGTCATGCTAAATGGTTGAAAACAGAAGAGAAAGGTTAAAGAGAACACGAGAAATATCTTTAAGCATCTGAAGGGCTGATACGCCATGGAGATCCTAGACTCATTCTGGGCCATTCCGTCAAGCTGTGAGGTCCATGATGGCAGGGAACTTGTCTATTTTTTTCTCCAGTACATTTCTAGCACTTAGCACAGTGTCTGGCAGATAGTGGGTGACAAGTACTTTTTTTTGAGATGGTGTCTCACTTGGTCGCCCAGGCTGGAATGCAGTGATGTGATCTTAGCTCACGGCAACCTCTTCCTCTCAAGTCAAGTGATTCTTCTGCCTCAGCCTCCTGAGTAGCTGGGACAACAGACACGTGCCACCACGCCCAGATAATTTTTATGTTTTCTGTAGAGATAGGATTTCACCATGTTGCCCAGCCTGGTCTCCCAACTCCTGGACTCAAGGGATCTGCCTACCTTTGCCTCCCAAAGTGCTGGGATTCCAGGCATGAGCCACCATGCCCGGCCCATATCTATTATTGAGTGGATGGATGAATGAACAAACATGTTTTGCATCGCTCCAGACTACAAGAACTGGAACAATGGGGAGAAGGGAACATGGGAAGTCCTGCATAGTGTATCGGGCTACCTTGCCAAGCTCCATGACATCTGAGGCCAGGGGACACTGGCTTTGTGATTCCTGCATTGGCTAGAATTTTGGCCATACCCCTTGATTCCCCCTTCCTACCCTGAGATGCAGGGCCTCTGCCTTGCATTGACAGATGGAAACTGTCTACACAAAACCATTCCTTGCAGGCAATCAGATGGGGTTTTCATGCTTATTTTTATTTTTTAAATTTTAAAATTTTTATTTATTTATTTATTTTTAAAAGATGGGGTTTCACCATGATGGCCAAGCTGGTCATGAACTCCTGACCTCAGGTGATCCACCCACCTCGGCCTCCCAAAGTGCTAGGATTACAGGCGTGAGCCACCGTGCCTGGCCTTCATGCTTATTTTTAAAAAGAAAGTCTGTTTCTGTTGTTAGGAGCTACTTGTTGACTATTTTTCCTGTCTACCCAAGTAGTTCTCTAAATGTAAAATCCAGTGATAGCTTGCCTTATTTAAATGCTTATTTGGGCTGGGTGCAGTGGCTCATGCCTGTAAGCCTCTGTCCCCCCAAAAAAATTCAGCTGGGCATGGTGGTTCATGCCTGTAATCCCAGCACTTTAGGAGGCCGAGGCGGGTGGATCACTTGAGGTCAGGAGTTGGAGACCAGCCTGGCCAACATGGTGAAACCCCGTCTCTATTAAAAATACAAAAATTAGCCGTGCGTGGTGGCACACACCTGTAATCCAAGCCACTTGGGAAGCTGAGGCAGGAGAATCATTTGAAACCTGGAGGCAGAGGTTGCAGTGAACAGAGATCTCATCACTGCACTCCAGCCTGGGTGACAAAGTGAGACCTGTCTCAAAAGAAAAAAAATGCTTCTTTGAAAAGATAGAGAAATTTTCCTACAAAAATAGGTTGGAAGGAGATGCTGAGGCAGCACGTGACAGTGTAGAAAACACAAGCTTTGGAGCCAAACCTGAGTGCAGCCTAGCTCTACCAATTACAAACAAATTCTTGTTTGCTCATTTGTAAGAAGCAAGGGGATAGGCAGAAATAATAGCAATTTTGTGGGGCTCTTATGAGAATGAAGCGAGCAAAATTTGTTTAGCCTGCACTTACAAAGTTGCTAAGGAACTGTATTTAAAACACACACACACACACACACACACACACACACAGCGAGGGGGCGGGGAGAGAAGAGAGAGAGAGAGAAAGAGAGAGAGAAACTGACGTAATTCGAAGCATTCGAGTGAATGGTTGAAGGTGACTGTTATTATAAAGATTGTATCACATTTCTATGTGATCCAAAGACCGCCTACATCAGAATCGCCTGGGATTCTGGGAATCACTGAGCTCCTCCCTCCTTTCCTCCCTGGACTACCCAATCATGATGTCAGAATTCTGCAGGTAATTCTTATGTGCACTAAACCTCTCAGTGCTCTTGGTGAATGACTTTCAGTGACTGGTTTGCAAACTGCAGTCGATAGGTTAGTTTGAAAGCACATCTTAGCCCATGTTGTGCCAAAGCCCTTTCTTTTTCTTGGCAGATGACATGAAATGGCAGAAGCTAAGTCCCACTGGCGCGGCTCCAGCAGGCTGTGCTGCCCACTCAGCTGTGGCTGTGGGAAAACACTTGTACATCTTTGGTGGAATGACTCCTGCAGGAGCACTGGACACAATGTACCAGTATCACACAGGTGAGCAGGTGTCCCTGGGGATCTTTAAACAAATCTAAATATCCTTTGAAAAGTGATGCAGTGCTTTGGTTTTCCAATTTGGTTCCTCTGTGTCTAAATCCAAAAAAATGAAAGCTCTGTCGGGATGAGGTCATTAAAGCAGCAATGCTGCCATGAGGTTTTTTTCCTTTTATTTTCTGTTAGGGCTCAGCTGATACAGTAAATCACTGAGCATTAGGCCAGGCACAGTGGCTCATGTCTGTAATCCTAGCACTTTGGGAGGCCGAGGTGGGTGGATCATGAGGTCAGGAGTTCGAGACCAGCCTGGCCAATATGGTGAAACCCCGTCTCTACCAAAAAAAAATACAAAACTAGCTGGGCGTGGTGGCACGTGCCTGTAATCCCAGCTACTTGGGAGGCTGAGGCAGAAGAATCGCTTGAACCCGGGAGGTGGAGGTGGCGGTGAGCTGAGATTGTGCCATTGCACTCCAGCCTGGGCAACAAGAGCAAAACTCCTCTCAAAAAAAAAAAACAAAATAAAATGACTGAGCATTTCTAGAAATTTCTTTACTTTTAAAATTGTATTCAGATTTTGGCTTTCACTATCTGGAAATTTCTTAACACGAAGACTTTTCCCTCCCCAACATAGAAAAGCAGCATTGGACCTTGCTTAAGTTTGATACTTTTCTACCCGCTGGACGATTGGACCACTCCATGTGTATCATTCCATGGCCAGTGACATGTGCATCTGAGAAAGAAGATTCCAATTCTCTCAGTCTGAACCATGACACTGAGAAAGGGGATTCAGCTGACACAGTAATGACCCACAGTGGTGACTCACATGAGGAAAGCCAGGATGATACACTGCTCTGTTTTGTGTTTGGTGGGATGAATACAGAAGGGGAAATCTATGATGATTGTATTGTGACTGCAGTTGACTAATAAAACCCACGTTTTCATTACCTGTCAGTTACTTTTAGAACAGTTAAGTAAAACCTTAGCTGTTTCATGCCTCCAAAATGTCTTCTGCACTGTATGTTTTTCTCCTACTTTGGTAGGTGAAGAAATTAATACAAGTAATTCATGTGCATACACCTTGCTATATTGCCTCTCAGAGCTCTTGGGAATGACTTTCAGTGACTGGTTTGCAAACTGCAGTAAAGTTTTGTTGCTCAATGCAAAAACCTCCACTATATTAATATAAAAAGTCTTTACCAGCAATACAAACCTAGGAGGTGGGATTAGTGTACTGAATGCTACTCACAAGAAGGTTGCAATAGGTTGCAGAAGGTTAAACAAAAGTTGCAGAACTGGCTGGGCATGGTGGCTCACACCTGTAATCCCAGCACTTTAGGAGGCTGAGGTGGGCAGATTGTGAGGTCAGGAGATCGAGACCATCCTGGATAACACGGTGAAAGCTGTCTCTACTAAAAATACAAAAAGTTAGCCAGGCATGGTGGCACACACCTGTAGTCCCAACTACTAGGGAGGATGAGGCAGGAGAATTGCTTGAACCTGGGAGGTAGAGGTTGCAGTGTGCCAAGATTGCACCATTGCGCTGCTGGGATTACAGGTGTGAGCCACCAGACCTGGCCACAATACTGGATTTCATGTTAGCACCAGCCTACCCTTTACTGATCATACTATTCTTTTCTTCAAGAAGGCAATCTAAGTAATCCGAAACCGATTTTGACACAAACCACTGCCTTTAACCCACCCATAGTGAGGGGATTTAGTGTAGTTTCAGTGTCACCATCCTAGATCCCACCCCAGTACCACTAATGAGAAATTTCAGGCATGGAGATTCTGACGCAGCTAGGGTTCACAATATACCTTTACATCCTAAAGTTACAAATTCAATCTGACTATGTCAAGTTAATACCAGTGGCTGGGCACAGTGGCTCATGCCTGTAATCTCAGCACTTTGGGAGGCCAAGGAGGGCAGATCACGAAATCAGATCAAGATCATCTTGGACAACATGGTGAAACCCTGTCTCTACTAAAATACAAAAAATTAGCCAGGCATAGTGGCAGGCACCTGTAGTCCCACCTACTCAGGAGGCTGAGGCAGGGGAATCACTTGAACCCAGGAGGTAGAGGTTGCAGTGAGTCAAAATCATGTCATTGCACTCCAACCTGGTGTCAGAGCGAGACTCCGTCTCAAAAAAAAAAAAAAAAAAAAGTTAATACCAGTGATCACTCATTCCGCCAATTCTCAGAGAATCCAAGCACCTATGAAGCATAATTTAAAAACACCAGAAGGGCAGTTCTAGAAAGATAAGGGAAATAGGAAACCAAGTATGTTGAAGAAAACCCCACTCTTGGGCACTGAAATGCCCCTCACCTAGGTAGAGGTATGGATTAACTTCTCTCCTCTTAGATTAAGGCAAAAGCTGAGCATGGTGGTGATCAGGTGGGAGACTGAGGTGGAAGGATCACTTGGGGAAGAGGCGGAGCAAATTCCCCGGAAGCATTAAATAGAAGTGTTTCCATATCCCAGCATACCAAACACTCCCTCCCCTCACCCCACACACAACAATCTGGCCTTATATTCCTAAATAATTGATCTAATTAGAAGCTTTTCACAAACATTAGACCAGTGTAAATAACAAACATTTATTGGTGTCACTTACGGTAGAAAAAACTTCCTACACCAGATGCACATGACCCAATTGTTAAATAGAACATTTTGAAGGTGAACACACACCCTAACCCAGGTTTTTTTACCCACTTTTTAAGATGGCCAATTCTTCTCCCCCCCACCCAGACAGGTGAGCAACTGCTAATGAAAAGCAGTAAACAGCCACTTGGGCTATAGCATTTTCAACTCCACTCTGAGGTGAAGATTCCAATTACATTCGAGACTTAAGTTCTCTCAATGTTTTCCTAGCGAAAGTTCCTGAGTCCAGTATTTACAATATTACAGCACTAGCAGATCAGTGTCTACAACTCATCCTTTTCTGCTGTATCATCTTCACCAGTTGGCGGAGGGCCTGCACTGCCATAGAGTTTGCTGATAATTGGCTGAACAATTTCTTCCAGTTCCTTCTTCTTAGCTTTGAAGTCTTCAATGTCAGCATCTTGGTGGCTTTCCAGCCATTCGATCTTTTCTTCTACAGCTTTTTCCATGGTCTCCTTATCTTCAGAGGATAGTTTACCTCCCAGCTTTTCTTTATCTCCAATTTGATTCTTTAGAGAATAGGCATAACTTTCCAACTCATTTCGAGTATCAATACGCTCCTTGAGCTTTTTATCTTCCTCAGCAAACTTCTCAGCATCATTAACCATCCTTTCAATTTCTTCAGGTGTCAGGCGATTCTGGTCATTGGTAATCGTGATCTTATTTTTGTTCCCTGTACCCTTGTCTTCAGCTGTCACTCGAAGAATACCATTCACATCTATCTCAAAGGTGACTTCAATCTGTGGGACCCCACGAGGAGCAGGAGGAATTCCAGTCAGATCAAATGTACCCAGAAGATGATTGTCTTTTGTCAGGGGTCTTTCACCTAGAAGTTACATACAGAAAAACTTGTTAGTTGTTATTGACAAGTATTAGCACATCTAGATCCCCACATTTCAGTCTGAAGCATAAAGTGAAAGGCCAAAAGTGACACTTTTGGTTTGAAAACAATTTCATATTGGTCTACAAGGAGCAGCAACAGGTACTAACAATGAGTTAGGTTACTACCTGCTAACTCAACTGAATTTTATCTATTTCAAAGTGCTGTGAACTCCTTTTTCTTGTACTCTAGGAGCAGCTCAGAAGTTATTATTAATAAGAATGCTAAATACTGACCGGGCACAGTGGCTCACACCTGTTAATAAACCCAGCACTTTGGAAGGCTGAGGTGGGTGCATCACCTGAGGTCAGGAATTCAAGACCAGCCTGGCCAACATGGCAAAATCCCACCTCTACTAAAAATACAAAAGTTAGCTGGGTGTGGTGGTGGGCACTTGTAATCCCAGTTACTTGGGAGGGGGGCTGAGGCAGGGGAACTGCTTGGGAGGCAGAGATTATAGGTCACGCCACAGCACCCCAGCCTGGGTGACAGAACAAGACTCCAT